TTATTCAGCACGAATAAACAGTTAGCACATGTTGTCGACTGGTTTTAGATGTTTGCTGACATTGCGTGAAGTACTACCTATGCGCGAATTTCAGTTACGGGTTGTGCTCGAGCGAAATGGTGGATATCAGAACGACACATAGACATCGCAACAAAGTACATGGCCGATCATTAATGCTCTGTTTTCGATATACTCAGTAGTAACTAACTTCACGAAGGACATCATTTTGTAGATGAATCCTACTATGCGTGAACCATCAACTGATAGGCAAGGAGTCGATTTTCGGAGATGTAGTAAATCATTTGCAAGCTCATCCTACTCAGTATGATGTGTTTAGTGCAATCTGGGAAGGTCTCATTCAGAGAACTGGAGTTTAGTCAGGTTGTGTTTTTCAACATAAGAACAAGTTGAAATCTGCCCAAAATATCCGAGCGTAATTCGCACTGATTCTATGTGAAACATCAACGGGAAATATCAAGGGAGCTACCTTCGAAATATATACCTGGATATTCATCTTTCCAATTTGTTGCAGGAGATAACTATGAACGTAGATGTCTCATTATCTTCGGATATGTGGGAAAAGAAGTGACTTATGGTATCATGCGGATTCTAGACATGTTTACTAATGTTATGTAGGAAACATCAAGTACCAAACACTTGATGGACTGTACTAGAGGAACAAAAATGGATTTCAACATAACACGGACATGCCAACATAGTACTTTGTTCTATATTCTCTGGGCATTTCACAAGGAGGTATATGTAGTGTGTCATAAAACCAGTCATACATATTCACGAGACCCTCTGATAAAAGCTTGTTCGTGCCGACAGTAAGTAACAAGTTACCTTTAATGCATGGCTTAACCACTACCGACTGATCAAATCACGTTTAGCGCCAGATGTCCGACAGTACCTCGGGAGATGCTGATTACGCTGGAAAGATAAGCCGGTAGGTGAGTAAAACGAGTATGCTTTAACCTTATGGAGCTCCACCAAAAACAGTGTTGTGTCACAGCATCGCCAGCTGAAGATTAACTTAAAGGAGCAAGATCAGTTTTATGTATCGGTGCTGAAGTTTTACAGATGGAAAATTTTAATATCGAATAGGAAAGTAAAACTATCCACTGGAAGTTTCTTCGGAATTACTTGATGTGCTTGCAAACCTTAAAGAGTGTGCCGGTAAAAATGTTCTACATCAATGAAAGAAGACAAGCCACCTTCGTGTTCAGTACGGAACACGAAGTTTAATATTTTCCGAAGTACCAACTGATTAGGAAGTTCACTTAAGCCCCTGGAAATGAATTTATAAGATAGCCCAAACTCGCCCCAACCCACGATAGCGTATGCTCCTTGCATTTTGAAACGTCAGAGTTTTACAAGTAGATGCTCCATATATTACAAAATTCATATTACTAGGTGTTAATTAATTTGAAACCGTAGACGATGAAAGAAGGCGGAAATCGCAAACCCGCCAACAACCAATGTAGTTTTTTTCTACCACCATCGAGGGAGATTTCTCATAATATACAACCTAGCAGGAAAGATAAAAGAAGAATCCTGTGGGAATTTAGTGATAACTTCGAATATGAAACAACAAAGAATTTGAAATGCTGACTCTAGAATGACATATTGTACAGATAATCGTTGTTACTAATAAGATATATTTCAATATCAGTTACCTATATATTCACAGAACATTCACGAAGATTGAATATGACCTTATTTCATAATAAAGTGTATCAACATGTACTCACTACGTTGTTAATGTTCTGATAAAGTATTTACTTATTGCTAATTACTTCTTTTCTTCATATTCTTAGCAATATGGAGAGATAGACCAGTATTGTAAACGAGTACAGGTCCTTGTGGCGGTTTAATTTGTTCACAATTTGTCATATTTATTAAGCTTACAGCGTATACTGAAGCTACCGGAGGAATCACTTAGTTATTTCAACTAAAGTTAACATTGTTTCGATAAATTAGCGCCCTAACGAATCATATGTAGTACATAGGCTAAAATAACAAGTAACCCTCATCTACTTACCACTTGGGTTGTTGCTGATTACAGTAACCAAAAAAGTTTTCATCGTTTACAGTAGGTACAAAAATACATGACCTCATCAAAACGGATTAAGTCTTGGAACAGGAATGATCATAAGCATATTATATTAGGACTGATCTTTGTTCAGCAAGGGTAACATATGGGATAAGATTATTGTATTAAGCTTTCCAGATGAGATAGCATGCCACGCAATTTGTTTAATATGGAATAGGAACTAATCCACTGAATATTGAACTGACGTGTTTATTAGTAAAAGTTGAGAAACTGATATAAGATGATCTATTGTATTTAATACATATATGATAACTATACATAATTGTATACTTATTTCTTTTCTCATTTTTTCGGCATGATCTGCCATCTTCCACAGAAAACACTTTTGTGAAATATGCCGATGATCTCACTGTATGTATGCCTATCTCTTCCTCTTAACATCCCAAATAAATGAATAGGTTTTTGTCTCGTATTTATTGTTGATCTGTTGGTAATGTTCTCATACTTAATCCGTCTAAATGTCAAGCTGTTAACTTTAGCATGAGACATGAACAGAATCTAAACACCATTTTGAGATCCCATAATGCTTGTACCATCGGAGACTCTTTGATAAACACAGTGTCGAAGGTCAATTATCTTGGTGTTACCTTTTCCTCTGATCTCTCTTGGTCTTCCCACGTTTTATTGTTTTCGAAGAAGGTTTTCCATCTGACTTACTACATAAAGAGATTGCATGCTTTTGGGATTGCTTGTCATTTACTCTTACAATTTGTCAATTCTTGCGTATTACCTATTATTCTTTACTGTTCTTCATTATTCTTTCCCGGGCTTTTGAGAAAAGACTTTGCTATAGTGCAGAGAGTGCTGAAGGCAGTTAGAAAGATGTGTGGTGTATCTTTCGAGGTCATAATTAATATGGTTGTGGACAGACATCTAAAGTCATGCAAACTCCTGGCAGGTGTTATTTTATCAGATACTAACCATCTCCTTCACTCTTATCTTTCTCCTTGTATATCTTCTGGTAGAATGAGACGTAATTACGTTAAAATCCATGCACACAAGTAAAAGTATAAAAGTTCTATAATACCTTACCTAGGAAATATACTCTGTGACGAACAGGTTGTAAGAGTTAACCTAATCAATAACCTGCATTCTGAACATTTCTCTAATTTTAAAAATTGTACAGTTTTCGGTTCGATATTTTTAAACCTTCTTTGTCTTTGTTGCCGTTTTTTGCGTAAGCAACTTGTAGAAATACCCTGTGCTGAGAATTCTATATAGTATCAAAATATAATATTGAATAAAGCCATTAATAATAATAACAATAATCCTACTGGTTAACTTGTGCTCACTTTTGTGGTTAATTAGAATGCCTTACACATGAATTGTCCCAACATTTCCTGATTTCGTTGCTTCTATCCATCTACCTGTCAATCGAATTCCCCTGCCATATTTATATATAAATACCTGAGACACACTGACTAGTCACCTTGGGCTGTTTAAATCCACTTCATACTAGTATAATGGAGTCCTGGATTTATCACGCAGAATATCCTGCTGCCAGTGTTATCCGTATTCTCACTCAATTCTTGGCCTCAATATGAATCTAACTCAATTACAAAGAGATCTGAGTCTAGTGTTAATCTACTACTACTATCAATTCGAAATGGTTGTGTTCACTCAGTCCTACTACAGTGTGATTGTTCAATACCTCAGTGTATCCCAGTTGACCAAATTACTCAAATATAAAGTGTATAGTTGAATCATCTGTCCTCGGTCATAGAGTATAAATATAGCAAACATAACAGAATATTGAATCAAAAATGGAGTCCTTGGCTTTCAATGGCTATCATCAATTTTCAGTATGAATTTGAGAAGAAACAGACAGATCGGGAATTTTGTACCTTTGAAAAGATGTCTGAGGAACGTTATCTACAATGGTGTATACCGATAGTTCATATCGTCACAGCCTTCTGGTTTCTAAATGTTTCTGTTGGTCAGCCTCAGTCCGTAGGCACGAAATCTCGATGTACATAATCCATATTACGATCTTCCAATAAACTGCATATTTTTAATTAAATATTGTTACACGTCTTGACGAAGAGACTCAATCACTTTCCAATTTTCGTCAACGAAGAAATAGTTTGTTGCAGTCCGGGGGACTACATGTGTTAACATTACTGTTTGCAAGATGAGAAAAATGAAGGTATGTCAGTTCTTGATTACGCTTGTGATAACCCTACAATTTTGATCTAATACTTCCACGTTTTAAGCACAAAACGTTGAAAGAAATAGACTTCTACAAAATGCGGTATCTTATTTGATGTTCATTAACAAATCATTTCTTTATTGGTACTACCTTTTTTCCTTTAGTACAGAATCTATCATAGAAAACGTCCAGGTTAGTGTTAATACTGCAAACGTTCGTGTTTGCATGTGACTAGTAGATTTGCCTAATTTTGTCCTTCATCATATATTGAGGATTGTTACGATGCGATGAGATGGTTTAGATAATAATGTGACTTCCACGTAAGATCATATATATTAGGCGGTTACATCATGACAAATCTACAATTTTAGGATTAGGTCTATTAGCAGAGCAGTACTAATATCATGGTAGACCATAATTCTGCAAGTCAGCATTTCGACTCCTGAAATATTTACGCCGATATAAGTAAAAAGTTTAGAAGCATGCTGTTGAGCAAACTTTTCTTGTTTTGGGATGATCTACCAATATCATTTAATGAATTTCAACACACAAGATAAGTGTAGTTCTCTTGCCTTGTAGACTACACTCACCGACTGAGTTCATTTAAGACGATAATAGATTACCTGGAACGAATCCTCAACACCAGTAAGAAATCAGTTTCTTTGATCACGCGCAAGCCCAGACTTCCTCAGGATATCATTTTGAATTAATAATAAAACGTGGTTTGTTACTTACTTCAGATGAATGGTTTAGTCTAAACATTACGGTTTGCAATTCTGTATTCACTGACTACTTTGTAATGGGACGTTACTGCTACACTTACCTCTTATTTAATAATAAATTCTGTTATGTTGCGTGCTTCCTTTTACACATTATGTCGAAGTGCTCTAAATGGTGCCATTCAGTGCAAGATTCAATGACACGACTTTCAGAGCAAGACAGTTTTCGAAGAGACGAGACGGAAGTCATTATTTGTTCTATTATTCGCCTTTTAAATCATGTATCTTCAAAGTTCTGCAACTGTATAACTACCATTGCTCAATGTGTCTAGTTGTCAAATCATACAACGTAAAGTTCTTTAGTCTGGCTATACTGAATTCGATAGTGCTGCTAATTTATCATGCGCTTTCTTCCATCAGCGCCCTTATTTGCTCTTATAACTTCATCACCACATCCGGTTCATGTAAAGCTTTTCACCATATGACCTTATACTTCCTTAATATGATGTAGTAACTTGAATTATTGTTACCTCCATGTTGAAAATGATCAGCCCTTATTACATCGTATTGTATCGTATTCCAATTCGTTAAGAACTTAGTTCTCACGTGATAATAGGCATGCATGATTAAAATACGGTTCCTAACAAATATTTATTTTCAAACTCACTGTACTTGTACCAGTATGAGCAAGAAGGAGTGTTTTATATTACAAAAAGGGTTTCAGCCACCAGTAGGCACTGTAACTGGTTGTGATTTGACTATCCTACTGCTGCTGTATATGGGACGAAACACAAGTGAAGCCCATCTCAATGCTAAGATGCTTGGGTTACTGCTACTGCGATATCTCATTCAGCCCACATGACCAAGTAAAACACAGGTGAGCTTTTAGAATTATGGTCTGCTATAATGTTGGTATTGCTCTAATAATAGACCTAATCCTAAAATTGTAGATTTGTCATGATATAACTGCCTAATCTATAAGATCTTACGTGGAAGTCACACCATCGACTACACCAACTCACTGTATCGTATCAATTACCAATACATGATGTAGAACAAGGTTAGTCTAGAGAAGGAACAATATATTTAATATGAATAGAAGATATAAGGTAACATTCAGAGGGACCACGCCTGCATGGCCGAGCCATGCTATCCGATCAACCCCAACTCATTCAATACATTATTCCCGCCATCTCCATCGTTAGGTATTTCTCCGCGTTAAATATTGAATATCTATTTTCCAAGTTGTCTCATGTTCAGCTTTGAGGATTGTGTGGTTATGGTCCCATGCCACTACAAGCTTAAGGCGACTCCATACACTGATTGCCTGGATCATTTTTATGGAAACTGACGTTGCCCATAACAGTGTTGTACCTCCTCATATTCACCACTGAAACAGCTTATGATAACAAGCGCATTACATCGAAGTAGCACTATCAGTATAATCATACTCAATCAGGTAGAGATTTTTCAGCAATTTACCTCAAAGCTGAGTCAATTTGCAGCGAGTGAACGATTAATAAGAATCAATAATTATTCCAATGATACATAATATTTAGTTAATTAATTCACTGACGCAATAACTTAATTAAAACTCTAACGATACCCACATGTAGGCTTTTTTATCCATGTCTGTTCATTACCTCATCCTTGACTGACCTGATAAATTAGAATGCAGGGGTTTGAAAACCTCAAAGATTGAGGAAACAATCAAACTGCTAAAGTCGTTATGATAAAAGGTGAATATTAGATAGATAATTATAAATTACATAAAACCGCCGAAACAAAACCCCTGAAAGAACCTCGAAAACACTTTACACATGCTCTGAAACCAGGGAGTTGGTTTTTCATCTAAGTTTCCGCATTGCAATACCTTGTTTAAAAAAGTAGTGAAACGAAGGCTTCTTAGTCTGTTGTCAGAATGAAATGCTGAAATAAATCTAAACTTGGTTTCATAATACCTATTCTATTGTACCTTTCATATGTAAACAATTTTGGTTGTAATTTTACGTTGAGAGGCGTAAGCAATCTACATGTACCAAATTCACGTTTTGCGAATTATGCCACATAGATTTTGGAGCGCTTATTCAAAAATGTCACTGGCTTTGGGAAAGCTATAAGATTTACAACGATTTTATGGAAAAATCTGGAGTTTAAACGAAGTTGTGAGATTTAGTTAATTTGTTAACGGACAATAACACGTGGAATTGTTCGAACCACTTATCATGACAGTGAATTCAGAACACTAAATAGTTCGAAGCAGTTAAAATCGTTACAATATGTTATTTATGGGTAGCATCGCCTGCAAAGTTTCAAGAAAACAGAGATGACACTTGAAAGGTACTCACTGAAATGCCAAAACACAAACCTGATCATTAGCACTCTGATTCGTCTGCACGAATGCGATGTCTCATATTTTTGTTGGTTCCATTTATTTAACAACCTTACTCGGGAAGCATACTGCAAGCAATTCAGTGTTGTATACTACAGATCAGGCCTGTAAAATTGGCGTGTACCTGCCCTGGCAGAAATATATTATTATCATAGTTCCTGATCGATACCCTTAGAAACCTAGATGATCATCTGATGTTTAACTGTGAACAAGTCATTCTCACTGCTATCAGATATGTTCCTTGATTAACTTATTTTCCTATTGATTCCGGTCAACACCATTATAAACGATGCCGCTGAGAAGCTGTCTATCACATTCGAATGAATAATTCACATGTCAAATATGCTAGTATATGGGTGTTGTGCTTCATCGAACTTCTGTCTTAATTTACCCTAATTATTGCAGAATGGCCTACTGCAAATACGAATAAATCGTCACCACTCTCTAATCCAGCATTTGATAAGGATTTTTATTAGTAATTCAAATGGGCGGGGATTCTTTCTTCAACAGATAATACAAATTCATGTAACTCTTCTCATGATTAAGGCACACTTTATCACTATTACATGAGTGGCACTTACTGTTGATAGTTCTTTAGGACCGAATCCGCGACTTCTTCCTTCTCTTGCAATACAATAAGATATTTCCTTACTTTATATTAAAGACCAGGTGGAAGCTGACCACCTGCATACAGTAACCTGTAATCTATCAAAGCCTTCATAAATATGTGCTTTTTAACGACGTGAATAGTGTGAGAGCCGTAAATTTGGGATCTACTTTTCCAAGAATTGTTGCTGATATCTTTACCTAATATGTACGAGACACTTAGATAGTCCCGTTCTTATATTCTTTTAATACTAAGTTTTAATGTGATACATAAACTATCGTTTCTTACCTTCCGTGAGTCTTTGTTAGGTAATTACAGACCCACTGCCTAATTTCTTCTTTGTTCGAAACGTAGCTATACCTACATTGTAACTTCCCATTTATAGTAATATTGATCCTGCGGGCGATTTAGAATGAAGTGATCAGTAGATAGAAGTAATATTTATGCTCCTAAAATAAGTAACTCGGTCAGAAGCGGCCAAACATTAAGAGCCTATTTTTCAATTAAATAACAATTAGAAATAATTTCTAAGGTACCAACTTCTCCACTACTCTCGCTGTTTAGAAAGGAGCCAACTACCGTCATTTAAATACCTCTTTTACATGGTAGAAGTTCATGATCTGTTTTGAGTAAACCCAATCTAATCTAGTTATAGTGAATATGACTCTTCAAGGTTAAGTGCACTTGTACGTATAGGGAACTTATTCCACTGACTTTTATTGGCAGATAATATCTGAGAACAGATAACCAGGGTTCTGACTGTGATAGTCTAAGTCAACCCCTTAATATCAGTTGATTTCAATGATATTGAATCCATCATTAATTAGGAGTATACGAGCCCTCATTCTCATTCCTAGAAAAGGTTGCTACTGGAACATTGGTAAACACTAGTACGTACCCAGGATTATTTACGTCCATTTTAGAAATGAATCGTTGTTTAACCGGGCCTTAAGTCTATTACATTGTGCCGAAACTCGGCCGGATATAAATACTTTTAGTTGGCCATTTTCAGTCCTGACATAATAAAACATAATCACTGAATCGGTTAAAAATATCCACATCTAGGTAATTTGAATATAGATCGAGTCCCAGATGAAGGGCTTCTAAACATGCGAAGCAATTGCTGTGATTTCCGAAGGCCTTATGACTTTCAACTTCAGTTGTAATGTCTTTGGCATCTCCGGAGCACAACGCGAACAGATTTTAGTACTGTATGGGTGATCTCAGACATGCACCGTGACTTTAAGTCCGACTTTCAAAAAAAGATTGCAGATATGCAGATTCGTGAATGGGTTTTTGACACACGGTACCAAGAGAAACAGCTAGGATGTACCACTGCTTACTTCTGGATTGTTACCAAAAACGTATTATGATAAATATTCCTCTTTATTATTTCTTCATCTAATACCAAGTCTGATTAGCATAGCCTCTGGAACAACTCTTTCACAAGTATTATGATCAGGGCTAATAATACCTAGATCAAATGGGTGAAGCTATACTGTACTCGTCATTTTATATTTTGCTTTGGGACATACATCTCCAATGTAAAACAGTTATCTGTAGCGTACTGAAATCAGCCATATGTAGACTCGATTGTCAGCATTTTAGCATCTTTTACCGTTAGTTCGTTCCAAAGGAGTTGACTCGCCGATTTATAGATCAGCGCTTTATGTGGGTTATAAGTCATTTTTTATGGGAAGCAAACCAAGGTATTCCTCAAGACTAGCAACAGTGCAGGCACTACTACTTACTCCTGTGACCCATCGTGGAGGAGGATAGGTTTTCCACCAGCATTCTCCGTCCAAATCTGTCCTGGGCAATCCGCTCCAGTTGCTTCCATCTATTATTCACTCTTTCGATATCTGCCTCTAATTTCCGACGCAATGTATTCTTTGATATTCCTCTTCCCCTGTTTCATTCAAGATTCCATCTTAGAGCTTTCATTGTGATGCAGTCTGAGTTCCAAACATTCTTCGATTGTAGGGATGCTGTCCTTGCATTGCTAATCCTCGACTTTACATCTGCATCAGATCCTCCTTGCTCGTCGATGATGCTGTCCACTAGAACATGTAGTGTTTAGTACTCATTGTAGTATTCTAGCTTCCAGAGAGATAAACTTATTTATTCTTCTTGAGTCACATTCCGGCCTTGTCAATTATTCGCTTATCGACCTTGACTGTTTTTATATAGTTCTATGTATAGGTCTATCAATACGGCGGTACAAATAACGAACCTAGACTATAATTCTACATGTTCATGTGTTGTTTCAAATTGGAGTCCGATCAACAGGAAACTAAAAGCTAAATGTCAATCTTACTAAAAACGTTGTACAGACAGACAAGGAGGAATACAATCATGATGATTCACTTCAGTCATAATCCGCGATATCTCAAAAGATTACTAATGCAATCTAGTGAAAATTATATCTAAGAAGATATCTTAATAAAGACGCAAAAATATGTATGAATTTTTTCATCTTTAGAATTTATAATATGTCAAATTCGCTATCAGAAGCAGTATTAATGGCACTAAATGACTTAACGTTAATTTTAGTTTCGCTGTTCAGTCAGTCGTACGCAGCTTAGGACGTCTCACACACATACATCGTTTTAAGTTACTGAAATCCATTATCAGAAAGAGGTGAAACTGCCAGGGCATATCACTTAGTGGTATAGGTGGTAAAAGCGTTAGTTGAAATATAAATGCTTACGCATCTATGATACCAATCGACAAGAAAATGTAAGTTAGTAGGATAAAAAAATACGTAAAAGACATTCAGAAACTTGTGATCTAAGAGAAGACAAAGAATAAATGCACCTCATCTATTGCGCACGAATCTGTGCAGTATCACAGAAGGTTTCTAAACATCGGTCAAGACAGTCATAAGGACTCCAACTAGATAGTCTGCACCTACTTACATGACCCAGTCGGACAGTCAGCGGCTTCATGGACTGATCTTTTGCCATGGTCTTCGAGTCTCTAAAATTTATCTAATGTAATTTATTATCAGCAACTACTGTCCGTCAAGATAGTAGATGGATGGAAATATTCAGTGCATGAACCATAACTGCTGACTCACGAATGTCCTCTGTTTCCGAAAACCGTGTTTCACAACAATAAAAAATAACAAAGAAAACTGCTGTGTAATATAACAGTCTCTTGGTCGACATAGAAACAGCTCCCCCACAACACAGGTGACACAGGTTGGCAAAAGCCAACCGAATTTTTTGAACTACTCCCAATATTCCAATAGACACATACTCAACAGGGCTGACGAAACTCCCAAGGTAAGTGGGGGGGTCGACACATTCGACTACTGCACTCCCTATCACTAGTTTAGATGTTGACACAGCCCAGTCTTGAAGCAACATTTTGCATTTAGGAGGAGAGAATCGAATCATGAACACGCTAGCACTGTTGTTCAAGGAGATCAAGAGATTGTGGATATTGTTAGAACAAAGCCGCCTACATATTCAGTTTCAAAGTGTAAATGTGTTTGCATGTTGATCATTAGCACAGAAGAATAATTGCTGAGGAAATTTACCTCAGTTATCCCTATCATCATACAAGGATTTTTGTATCTTGAAGGACTGAGACAAAAGTTTTTACCTCCCCATAAAGAAGAATCTTGTCTGTTAACCGGAACTCAGGTCGGTAGATTAACAACGTTGATAATCTATGCCGCATGATTGGGAGCCTACTCGAGTTAGATAGCAATGGTGTGACCAACAGCTAACGCTGAAGTCACAACTAACGTCCAGCACCGAACATGGACTACACCTTCGTCGTATGACGGTACTAAGGATGCTTTTAAGACCGTATAACACAAAGGATATTATAACAGAGATATATCAGAGTAGGTACAAGCAAAGCTGTGACCTCTACTGCATGAACGAGTCTATGATGTATGGTTAATTGATGCACGTTGGTTGTCCTCAACCTTGACGGCGATCGATGAACTGTTCAACATCCAGTGACCTAACTGCCGGATGATTTGGCAACTGCCCAGTGAAATTTCACTAGCCCTACATATCTTAAGAAACAAATTGGTTTCCATTTCTTCCAAGAAAATTTGAGATCTGAACATCTACAAGCAGGTATACTACACAGTCTAATCGTGAAGTCATACGTGAATGTTCTTTGTTTATTGGCCTGCGTTTTAATGCTTAATTTATTAATTCTGTTAGGCCGTCAATTCCCCAAATGACTGGCGGTTATATCGTATGGCATTGGACTTGAGTTCGTCGGTTCGGTCTTGGAGCTTTTTGCCTTACCATATTGTAAAGCGTATATACAGTTATTTAGGCGATGAAGTTGTTTACGTTTCTACCGTATGCAAACACTGGCGTGGGGTCGCATACACCGATAGATCTGTATGGAAGAAACTACATATATGTCCTCCTAATTTTCCAGAAGTTGAAGCTCTCAAGAATCAGATTATCCCTATGAAAATTTGTAACGAGGTTTCGCTTGAATTTGACCCAAGGAATGAGTCTCATGTTGCTGTTTTGGAATACACACTGAGTGCTTTGTGTTCGAATGCTGGGATACATTCCATTTCCCTACGACCGACATTAAAACTTTTATACAATAAATCCTCTTTAAATATCTCGAACCGACTTTCAAAAAAGTATGTTATGGAAAATTATTTCCTTTAACTTAAATTGTGAACAGGCTGTGTCATATCTATTCATGTACATGCAGTCTGTCCACATAGTGTTATCGCGAGATTATAACTTATGGACAAACCAATCAGATCTAAGGTTGCGAGTTTTGTATTTCGGCACAGAAATCCCCGTGGCCAACTTTCATTTTTGGCATTGTCGGTGTCAGTCCGTGTTGACAACTCTAATCTTAATTTGACTCGATACTCTAGTCTCCATTACTCAATAACATGACTTTCTTTGATGTTAGTAAGTGGGTAAAGATTCTTAAATACACTTCGGTGTCTCTCAAACGTTGTTGATGGATTACAAACTTGACACAGTTTTTTGGATCCTACTTCGTCGAGTAAATTGACATGCCTCTACAATTTTGAGATAAATGAATAGTCATTTTTCAACAGCAATACTTAGGTCTAAACTACGCCCAGGTACCCATTTCACCATGTAGTACTCCATTATCAATGACTTACGACTTCAAATTTACGAGAAGGTAACAAGTAAACTGATAGCTGGTAAAATATGTCTAAGACTCAGAGGGTTTCAATTATGAGAAATTTAAATTACATTCTTATTTAACAAGGTATTCAAGAGGTGCAGAGATAAATAAACACAGTTGACACAAATGCAAATTAACTGGAAATCATATGTTTGATGGAGATTTATTTACATTATTTAGAAAAGCCATTTACTTTAGTATATCTTTCACCCACATAACTTTAGAGTTGAGTCCCAAGATTTCCTGGGACTATACAAATGAGTCAAATTGTCCACAGATAATTGGTCGTAAGGGTACTGCTTGTGCTCACTTCCCTTCCTAAAGTACCTTAAACTTCACCTTGGGTTAACAGTCATCCTTCTATATGTAATAGTTTCCTACAGTAGACAGGACGACCTGTGACCTTTGATAAGGTATTATAGTTGCTGTTATTAATTTGAGATCACTGGCTGTATGTTACCTTAATTCCACAGACGCTCCATGATTAAATTGAGACAAAAAACATCCGGTTATAATGAGCTAGATGGAATTGTTTTAAACTATGATGACTAATTAGCAGTATATCGTTTTACAGAGGGGTGTTTTGTATTCTAAAACTTACTCGTTCCCAACCACCTATTGAGAAGTGCTGTACGTGGGTGTATGTGTAGAGCAGTGGCTTAATGGTTAAGGGGTTTAACTTTCAGCTAGTGAGCCGCATGTTTGAGTCCTGCTCCACCTACTTCGATTTTCCATACTTAATAGTACAGCTAACCTCCATAGTGTCTCGAAACTGATTGCACTAATCTATGCTTGGCAAATAAGAAAATAAAATATTTTGCTCAACAGTTATGTGTGGCAGGTTCCAAACAGTTTCTTAACCGTTGCAATCAATCCATCGGGTTGCGAGGTCATCAAGACTGGTCATGTTTTTTTGTCTTAATTACGTAGGGGAAAATGATCTTTGATAATATGAGTAACCCACGAGGATGTCAACTGTTTACATACTTTCCACGGTACTGGAAATCGACTAAATACTCTGTATGAAGAATAAACTACAACTGGGTGATCCATATGTGTACAAAAGGTATTTACCTACCCAGAAGCATTTCTGTCTATCAGTTCAAGATTTTTAAATTTCCTGAGTGGGTCCCCACTTTCATAATTTTGTCCTCTTCATTCTCCTATTGTCCGTTCAAAGAGCAACAAACGTACTTGTAGATTTACTGGTGTAAATATATCTAATCAGCCAAACCTGTATTTCTAACCGTCTTCCGGTTATTCTGAAGTGTAGCGCAATAGGGTTATAGTGATGGTGGAGCAGTCACTTGAAAATGAAAGACGGTTTTCAAGCCGTGTGTTGTAGGTTCGATCCCTTTTACAGTATCCGGCTTAGCTTAGCAATACTACCACACCTATACAAAATTAATAGTTCAAACGAAAGCAACGTAGATCCTAACATGTGTATCATTTCAAGTTGCTATACCACATTAATACAGCGAGATAAAATTATCTCTAAAGAAATCTCAGAGTAGTAGAACTAGTAACAGTATCAGCAGTAGTAAGAAAAGATCAGGTATGGAGAATTAGGATTACAAGGAGATTTTCAGACTCAGGTTCTAGAGAGATACAAAGAGTGAATGCACCTCCGATATTGCGAACAATTCCAAGCCACATCTAACCATTGGTTACGGTAATACACGGGTTTGCACTTGGTTACTAAGATCGTATATCACATTTGTAAGTCACATGTTCAACTCACTTCACTTCGGTTACAAAATTCGAGAACCATCATCATCGGAAGCCACAAGGGTGATTCTTTTATTCCAATGTACATCCCCGCATTTGAACTTCCTATTTTTTAGTTTTTAGTATACTATTAATATAAAACAAGCATATTCATCTTTCTCTACTCTTTTCGGTTTGAAGTTGCGGAGATTGTTGTATTTCGTTTATATCATAAACCGATCAATGTTAGATCATCAGTGAAGACCTGAAAGCACTGGATGGCCGTTTCATCTTGGTATAGGACTCCTCAGCAGTGCTACTCTATGATCACACACGCGGGATTCGAACCAAGGACTTTTGGTCCCAAGCGAACGCTTAACCTTTAGACCATTACTGAGCATATGATAATTTTCAGTTCGGGGTTGTGGAGATTGTTGAATTTCATCCAAATTGACTAACTTTGCGAGGTGATTCTCGGAGTTCTTATTAGAAGTCGCGACCAGTGTAGTTCAACCGTGTCGAGTGTGAGGCAGTTACCCATGGAGAACAATGGAAGATGGCCGCGCAACATCGTGGATTGGTTGAAGTTAGACATTAACGCCGTTGAACATCAGTTCAGTGGTCCGGAGGTTAAGCTTTCACGTGCGAGTTGGTGGGTTCTGGGTCTGATTCCCGTTGTGAGGTGATTAGTGCGCACTGTTGAAGAGTCATATACTAGGGAGAAACGGCCCTCCTGTGCTGGCAGGTTTTAAATGGTTGTCTAACGTTGATGGGCTCATTATTTCAATGAGATTTTTACTATTGTTCGCTAAAAAGGAAAAAGAGATAATTTCAACCAAATTCAGCCACCAAATACGGGTTCATGTATTCAGTTTTGACTTGTGAAGTTATTTTTGAGATCTGCTTGGGCCAGTGAACGTGAAGTTCGATTCAAGCCTGGAACCTAACCGGGTTAAAATTCGAATGGCTCAACTACCAATTTACCCCGTTACTGTTTGGTAGAGAAACACATTTTCATTGTATTTTAAGCTATAAGGATGTTTTTTAATATTCGACCATGTAATTATCTATTTTTACTTTTTATGCATTTAAAAGTATGCTATTATTCTTTCTTTTTCCCATTTAAACTTCAGAATAATAAATGCATTATGTGAGGTCATTATGAATGCTAAATGTTTAAAAAAATTTTATTGGGGTGGGACTTATTGTGGAAGTTATGAAGTCAGTCGTGTATTACAATCATTGACAAAAAATCAAAAGCATAATTTATTATCATTACAAATTATCAGATTATTTCAAATTAATCAATCCATGTCATATTTAAATACAAGATTATTTATATTTTCCAACCTCAACCAATTTTCTATTAATTACCTAAATCTTTCGGAGGATATACTTTTAATTTTATCGAGAAATTCAAACCATCTTCGTATTTTAAAACTTTTTGTACAAAACAATGTTCAAGATCTTCCCATAATTCGGTGAGTTTTATGATTTCAAATAGTTGTATAGTATACTGTTTCCATATCAGTTGAAATTAGTTTCTCTGATCTGTTTTTCTTACTACTTCTCTCTCTTATTGTGCCGATTTCATGTAGAGACTTAGATCAGTAGACATTCATGCGATTTCCTGAATCAAAAGTAACCGACTGACTTACTAGGAATATCAAGTTGTTTTGTAATTATTTTATTACACATTTTAAGTACGTTGAATTACTGAGTCTTTTAATGTATTTGACACTAGAGACTTGGTTGGTCAAACGAAGACTTGAAATTAATGACACATTTTTGTCTAAGTATTAGGGGGCGAACGTAGGATTTTGGCTATCATTCATAAAGATCGAATGATTTCAAATGAAATGGGAGTTTTTATGGATAAGTATGTTGGATACCCTCAATGTTTATCTTTCCCAAAAACGTCATCTCATTATTCTTTCTGGATACTGTCATACTTTTGTTCTGTAACCTCATGTCTGATTATGCAAGGTTTCATGTATCTGTCGGTCTAGGTAGCTGGTGTATGTTTATAAAGAGCTTTTGGGCTATTACTCAGATTTTAGAACACCGTGTCCTAATTTCTTAAATTGTCATATACTGATGACAGCAACAACTAAATGTATTGTTAACGCTGTATAAGCCCCTTAATCTCAGATTGGAATTAAGATACCTTTAGCTCTTCACTCTATAGTCGGTTCCAAGCTTCGCCAGGGAAATAATCAGTGACCAAATGTAAATAGGTCACGAAAAAAAACAGTTTACAAAACGGTTGTCCAATCCTGCCTACATGTGGAGTTATGAATATCGGTCATCATTTGGTGTGAAGTGTGTTCATCTTGTGTTATATAAAGTTGTGTACTTGTTTGGATACTATGATTATCCAAATTCATATATATAGCCTTACGGTCAGGATTAAATTAATCATGGTGATTGATAGATACAAATCGACATTGTCAGTGCATGTGTAGTTTTGAAAAAATAAGACATCCAAATAATTAGCTAAACGATTAAATGTACTGTGTTGTCGATGATGATAACCACAACGCATTATCTGTAAATTTTTGTTGGAGTAGTAAACTGTATTTAGCCTCTTCAACCATTATCGACGCTATTGTTTAAGTTCCTCGGCTATTTATCTTATTAATTTCACTTTGATGCTCTGATTTAATGTAACAGCTTGGGGGAGGAAACTTTTATGACCCCATTCTACGTTAATTATGACTGACTTGAATCTGCTGTTCATTATTGACGTTTTGATCTCGACTACGTGTAGCCAGCTGATGGTAGCAACCGTTTTTCATCATTATTTCCAGTTAAACTGTTACTCTAGTCTAGTTTCTTTTTGTCTCCCCATCTATCCCAGAAATCAAATTTGGAGACATGTGCATGAAATACTTCCTAATTTGCGTGTGACTTTATTCCTAATTTGTGTAAACGATCTCAAACAATCAACAATCCATTCGAATTCAATCAATCAACGAATGTCTTTCATACAAAATACTACTCAAGAACTTGATAATCAATTACCACTACCATCATCATATTCATCGATGTCACCATCCCATTCTGTCACTTCTACATCCTCATCGCCAACGTCTTCATCTTCACCGCATATACCGGTGCAATGTCGACTGGAAAATGAACGTGAACAACATTTAAGGGAGGATCATCATCCATATGGTGAACAGAATCAAATTTATCAATTACTTTCAACCAAACTTTTGCCTTCTGCTTTGCCTTTAAATTCAATTTATATATACTATTGTAAACCAGATCCATTGTCTTATCTTATACAATATTTAATGGATACATTTGCTATGAGTTTAGAGCATTTCTATCTAATTGATACTTTCAATATAATATCTGTGATGTCAAACAATTCTAACGGTATTTTACATAATAATTCTCATTATACGGAATATACTACCATTACTACTAGTAGTGATAATAATAATAATAGTAATGGCAATATCATTAGATTTATTGCCAATACACCAGCAACAATTTCTTATGATGCTGTTATTAATTATGATAATTACGACTGTGTTGACTCTGATTATCAGTCAATGTTCAGTTCTTATTCCTCACATCATTCATTATTACTGGATAGTACAAGTGATTTTGATATATTGAGCTGTGATTCTTCCTATGATCTATTTGATTATGAAGACAAAAGTTGTAGTAATAATAATTATTACTCAGGTAATTTTTTGCTGCCCGTTTCAACCAGTCTATCTTTGACTTCATCATCTTCGTCTTTACCGGTACCGTCAGGGTCATGTTTGTCTGGTGATCAAATACACCAATCATTGATAGCACCAATATCACTTCATAAGATGGTTGGACAAATTGAATACTCGTCTAATTCAGAAATTATATTACCAAAAAATGGGAATGATAGTTTGAGGATAATGAAACCAACTGCATGTGAGGAAAGTGCTATCGATAAGGGTGGTGGTAGTGATACAAGCGTTGTATCTCATTCAGCTCTCATTTCTACTCATGATAGTATCAATACAACTAAAACCAATGTTAATGATTATTGTGATTATTTACCTTACGATTGTAATTATTATTCCAATTTTTCCGAGGCTCCACAATCATCTACTTCATCAAATCTTGTTTTTTACTCACCAAATTTGTATAAAGCGCCTGATGATGTCAACCCTGATCCGTTTGTTATGTTAGCATGGAGATGTCAACAATTGTCGCATTTTACACTAATTGGTAAGTAATTTCTTTCCAAATTGTATATAGAATTCATATTACTAGTCAAATTAGTCTGAACAACTGCATACGCGAATTCGATGTGTGTCTAAACTTATAATTCTTCTGCCCCTAAGGAGGTTTATTCGATTGGTTATGTGCTTGTTTTCTCCTATAATCTGTTTAACCAATGAGGTTACTCTTAAACCGGTTGTTCAAATCTGAAAATAATTAAGTAAACTCAATAGTACAGAAGTAATAAATGTTATATTGTAAATAGTAGCACATTATAAAATTGTAATAGAATTTTTGTCTATAAACATAATGATGACTTGAGCACTTACAAGTAAGCTAATATGTTATACTACTTTTAAAAAATATATATGACTTAACGAAACAAGTCAGATGGTTTTCTCAATAAACGATCTATCAAGAAAAGTTGAATACACAGAAAACTAGATGAAAATAACTAATATGACAAATTATATATTCATATGACTGCAGTACAAAGAAGTTCCTTGAAACCACTAAACTACAGTGAAATGAGTTAAGTACCATTCGTATTTGAATAAACCATTCAGTGAGATGTCTTCAATCAGTTATGCCCGTATTCAACTATGTGAGTGACATTTTTAATCAAATGCTCTTGATAATAGTAACAAGTTTTTAAAGGGAATTTATTCTGGTGAGGGACCTAGGTTAATTTACTTTTGCAACTGAACGCAGAAGATAACCATTAACAGTTAAGGATTTTTTTGGATGTTTTAAATACTAGCGTGTATTTTTTGAATACACAGAATAGTTTCTAGCTAGAGTCAATCGTGACGTGAAAACCACGTAGTATGAATGTATCATACTACAGGATAATTTTTTATCTTGCCATATTTGATAAGCAGGATTTGTGCTTATCACATGTACTAATAACTCAAGCTTAAACACACTTTAGAAAGTTTACCTCATACCGTATGAATATTTTAAGTGAACATATTGAATTCATGTCAGACAATTAATATGGTTTGAAGAATCAGTACTCTAAGAGAATTACCAACTGATAAGACTATATTACAATTGCGTTAAATATAATCTTACATAAATCCTAACAAGCTGTAGCGGAATATTAAGGTCAGCTGATTCCATTGATTTTCCTGATAACAATTAGAAAGAGGTCAACTTATAAACGAACATTACTAATCATGAATAAATATAATAATAGACTGCAGTGAACTGGATACAAATTATCATGAAGTTCAAATTCATCTATTTTATGCTATTAATGAAATGATTACCATTATTATTATTTTTTAGAGTTGTAAGAAAATACTAAAAATACTAAATTTAATATCGGTTCCAATATTTTGCGAATTCATGTGAATTAAATGATTCGTGTTAAGTGATGAACATTCACTGTTGAGCACCCTGCACTGGCTTCATTGTCATAATTATCGGGAGCCATCTTAGAAACCTACTTACTCTCTCGATAACGTTCCGTGTGATGTGAAATCTGCACAAAGTGTGGTGTGCAGCCAGGAAGTTTCCACTTAGAGCATTGCCAATGACAGGGCTGTTGTCACTACTGAAGCGTCTTACCAGTATACCAGAGAGGCACGAAAAAGGCTAAAAGCCTTTCAATAAGATAAGATGTCTCGCCAACTATAAATCCAAAGGCTACTTGTGTCTCCCTCATTGATGTATCCAATGTTACTAACTCGTAGAACGGTATTTTTTTCATTATATTTAAGGTGCCACCAATTCCTGTGATGTCTGTAAACCGGCAAGCTATGTTATTCGTATCCCATGTACAGAAGAAATAGTACTGCAGCTGACCTTATACGTCACACCACGTCTGTGCTTCGCCTTCCAGCTGCATGATATGCTCTGCGAAGGTTTCAAAACATTATGAAAACTACTAAACAAACCTGGAAGGTTTGATTTTCCAAAAAGGATGACGCATACCCCAGACATCCTGTGCAAGTTGTTCTCCGTAGGTTTCTTAAACGGAATCGATTGGTACAAATGCTGCAACTCCCGACAACAGTAAAGGGAGAGTGCTCTACATTTGGTCTGTCAGACGACGGAACCATGAAGTTTGCTCATGAACAACGTGCGGTTGTGAACCCATTTGGCATATGAACATTTACGGAGAACCAACATATCTAATAGCACGTCTAGTTTAGTATATACAGGATATTTGGAGAAACATACCTTTTATTGATGAAGATATCGGCCGTTGACGGATTCTTTTTTATTCTACATACATATTTAATATAAAAATCCCTCTCTTTGCAATGGCTATTTAATATAGTAAAATAACAGGAAGCTTGATTCCCGTCAACTGTTGGCTGTCTGGCTGACTCTTCCTTGGTTAGAAATCCAACGCCAACAAACATATCTCGAAGCATATTGTCCGCCTCGCTGTTCGATGTAAACATGTGAAACAACAGGATGGTGTTAATAAAATTTGTGAAATGCTGCCCTTTTGAATTTGATGGTTTTTATTCTGAAAGCAAGTTCTCCATTAGACCATGGGAATCACCTTTTTGATTGACCTAAGGGTTAGGGAACTAAGGTACATGAAAACACAATTTCACATCCAGTAAAATTAAATTCACGGAAACCGTCCCTTACTCGTCAAATAGTTTGACCGTTTAAATTGAATTAATATTAATATGTAATGTTGATGAAATTGAGTGTGTCAAAACATGTGAGACTGTAATCCAATGTTTTAGTTACTCAAAAATGACCCTGTGTATTTATCGACCAACTCATGCGTAGTCTTCTGTCCAAATGTTCTGTACGATTTACAGAGCAGTTGGTTAGCGAGGGCCGAATCGGCTCATACCAGTCTGGAATATCTTTTGATCTATCACAACTGACTGTCAAAGGTTGAGGGCACAATATGTTAATAGGGGCAGTTTCACTTTATGGTTGTAAAACCTAACCCATCCGAGATCAGGATATTCATTTGAGAACGGCGCTAATAGTTTCGAGGTCCACCAATGTGTTAGGGATTAGCAACGATAATTCTGTTGATATCATCGTTGATTGATTTCATACTAGGAAATTTACTTGTCCACCACTCCACTTATCTTGGAAGTTTCGTCAGCCCTGTTGAGTATGTGTCTATTGGAATATTGGGACTAGTTCAGAAAACTCGGTTGGCTTTTGCCAACCTGTGTCATATGTGTTGTGGGGGAGATGTTCCTGTGTCGACCAAGGGACTATTATATTATACAACAGTTTGCTCTGTTATTTTTTATTGTTGTGAAATACAGTTTTTGGAAACAGGATATTCGTAGGTTACTAGTGTTCAACCATAGCTGTTTTCGAAACAGTGCTCGTTTGTTGGGACCGCTGAGTTAGCATAGCTGAGGTTAGACTCAGTATAATAGGTAAGGAATCGTAAATTGATCGATGGAGTAGTGAAATTTTCATAAGGTCAGGTGTTCTTTTTGGGGAGGGGGCATGTATTACGTATACCGAACCATAAAATTCCTCGACGGTGGTTGTTTGTTGATGTAGGAGTAGATTGGAAGGAATCTAGGGACTCTTGAACCAAGAAGTGGAATCAGTCCAAGGGGACATTGACCATGGGATTGAGCTGTGTTGATAGACTGAGGCTACCCAACTTAGTTCTTATGAATACAGTGGTCTTGAGTGCTTTTAGAGGTATGAGGGCGGTTATCACTTCCCGGTTGCCCACACCGTGGAAGGGTTCTTCTGGAGGTACCTGAAAAGGAAATCGGATTAGAAGTGGTCTTAGTGACCTGGGAACGTGACCGCAGTGCCCAAGGGACAACTGTTTGAGGTCGGTCACACACGACCTTTTTATGGGCAATTTTTGTGTTAGCTCCGTACTTGTTGAGACCTTACCGCCGGAGACGGATATCTGTGGGATAAGGCGAGGTGTGCATTTTTAGGGTCGACCTTTTCTAACCCCACCCCTCCTTGTGGGAAGGCAGCATCGCTGTCATGCTGGTTGTCCGAGGGAAACACCTTACTGCTGTCACACCTCTGTACAGTCAGCAGTAGGACTTCGCCTTCGGACCTTGGGTTTGTTGCTTTTAGTCTCACCGCTCTTCAAACGCCCTGTCTGACGTGGTAGGACCTTGAGGAACAGTTGTTCCAGTCAGTATAGCTCGGTTGCTTCATCACGATAGGCAAGCCCGACCACCACTTCAAGGTAGCAACAACGGTCGGGCCAACTTAGTTCTAGTTGATTATTGCTTTAGAAAGTGACTAAAGACTGAATGCAATGGCTCAAAATCGGTTCCAATGTCCTAAATATTGTAAAATAAATGACAGGACTGATATCTGTTGGTTCATTACATTTCTATAAGTGGGATCCAATATATCACAATCCAGTAACCTGAAACGTTACCAAATGTGACTCATAATTGGAGCCAGTGGTGATTCTGCACTATAACATATTATTGTGTTCTCCATAAAAGTAAGATACAATTTCTTAAGTGAGCGAAATCCTATCTGTGGTCACCTTCCTGATCGAACGGCGTCTATTAATAAATACTATTCTATACCTATCCATTTTATGTAGATTATATGACTTCTCCGTATTTTATTTCGTAATGTTACCATCTGACTTTGTATGGCACGGCCTTTTTATTCCTATTGAATTGAAATATGTTCGCGTTATTCATAAATGAAACAACTAAGTATTCAGACAGTATCCGATGTGAAATTCGCGGTCGCATCACTTTCGTAAAAAACAGGGTTGTGAATGAATACCTATTCATCTATTATTATTGTAACAACGCTGTTGTGACCTCAGTCTGCCCACTGGTTCTTTTGATAGGTATGCAGGGAGATTTGTCTCAAATTTAGTTAACGGCCTTGATGTGTCAGGTTACTTAGTATAACCTTGAAAATGTTCGATATATAACTAATTTACAGGCGGAGGACCATCCTATTTGCTGATGAATGATCTCTGCTAGCAGTGATTGATTGGCAAGAGGAGATACATCTGTATTCGAAGACAATTTAGCTCAAAAGAGTACATGATCAAATGTGTGAATAATTGGACCGTAAATCACAATAAATTAAAAAGATATTAGTATATGCCAAGATGCCAAGAAAATGAGATACATGACTAGCGTTTTAATTACAATAGATTATAGATTAAACGGAAGCCTGTGATTAAAGAAATAAGGGAGTTATATAAACTAAATGTTAATAAGTATTGATTATGAAGTAAGCGAATTAATACCTCAAAACATAGCTTTCATTTTTTGTTATTTCCGTATTCTCTTCACTACAGACACTAATCATGCAGTAGATTGATCATTGTCATTAATGTGTATTTTCCACACGTTCTACTATTTTATAATTCTATATTAAATGTGACTTTTATTTTGCTTTTACTTAAAGGTTACTGGTTTAATATTGTGGATATGAAAGCGTTTACAGCTCTTCGTGGTACATCACTCAAATCTTTTCGTATTCCTAGTTGTTGTATTTCTATTGATGATCAATCTTGGCCATTTAATTTGGATGAGAATTTAAATGAAGTGAGTAATTGAAATATCAAAACAGTGTTATCTGTATCTAATTGATTTATCTCTACATGTTGAATAAAAGTATATAACCAAATAGTAACCTGTGCATTACTTTTTCTGTTCAAGAATATTTACTACAAGCGATGTGTATTATAGATTAAATCAACATGAATCTTGGTGAAATAAGTCATTCAGTCATACGCAATGTAAATAACCTGACACATACATGCACTGGTTCAAGTTGCTGTCCCACATTAACACAGCGAAATAAAATTATTTGGAGATAAATTGAAGAGTATTAAGCAGTATCAGTGGTGTTAGAGACGACTAGGTAGAGAAAAAGAAATAAAAGGTCTGAGAAGATTCCGAGACTCGAGTACTAAGGGAAGACTAGGAGTGGATCTGTTCGATTTAGAAAGTCTTCAAACATTTGATATTGTAGCATAGTATTCACAACTTCCAACTATTAGCTCTTATGAATTTGAATTACTCCACTCTTTTTTTTAATGAATATATCGTCTTAAGTTGTAATAACTAAATGATTAGGAATGAATAACAAGTAATTAACGAAAGTTTAAAGATTTTTAATTGAAACAAGACTTAGAACATTCAGAACTTAATGTAAACCACCACTTCTTCCGAGAACGAAAATAAATTAGCACAAGTTTATATAGTACAAAGGTTTGTTCCTGTTGTTCTGCCATATCATCATGGCATAACAGAAGAATTACAAAGAATCCTTAGATCACACAGAATTTAGGCAGTGTATAAAACAACGAGTTCAAATAAAAGATAAAATACTTATCACTTCGACACAGAATTACGTCTACAGACTGTGATGTTTAGATGGTGATTTATTCTATACTGGACAGTCTTCTCATGAAATCATGACTGATGCCAAAGAACACAAAAACATTTTCAAATAACCCTCTAGAACTAGAAAGGAGAAAAGCACGTCTAACTATCCATCCAACATGGAACATTTATTCAAATATTCGCACAACTAATTCTATTCACGTTTCACACCACTAACAAATATATTCCTGACGTTACTCTTCCACATTACAAATATCACATTTTCTTCACTCATGAACACATAATTACATACAGCTAGGTTTCACACAAAAAAGTAACCGTGACTGAAATTACAATGTTAATATAATCAAATCTATTTTAATTTAGATTGTACTGAAAATATTCTGCTTTGTGTCTTTTATAGTATTTAGACTTGTGTTAATCTAATTCATTTACAATTTTTATTTTTGAATTTCGCGATAACCACAATACTATCCAACCATTGAGTTGGTAAAATTCGATTTTTTACGTTCCTCAGTGAATTTCCGGAAGTTTTGTTCTGAAATCGTGGTTCATGAAGGCGAAAATCATGCATTTATTCAAAGATAACATTGAGTAGTTCCACATCATTTCATGGATTAATTGAAATTAGGAAATACGCACCATCTAATTTAGGCTTAATGACTGAATGTTATGATGCTCAATCGTAAAAGTTCTGGAACCCTTCTAAACATAGTAGCAGAATAGGCACTTACCCATTCAGAAAAGTGACACGTTACTCTTCACTTTCAAGATGTTTCGAAGAAACTTCTATTGTTAGGTGATTAGATAAAATGTTTCCCAGAGTTTTCAGGGCCCGTTTGGGCTTTTTTCAAGGAATTTTTGTTGATCTTCTCAACACTAACATTATATGTAACCGATACGAGGGGGTACACTAATAGATTTAGCACAAAATTACTAAAAAAAAAAAAACACATTCGTGATGTTATATATAACGAAATTCACAATGAATAAATACTTACGAACAAAAATCATATAACTGAAATAAAACGAAAGTTAAAGCTAACAAATTATCACGCCAAGTTAAAACATAATTGTTATATCCTAACGAAAATAATGAATGGTAACTGTTGGGATCTATTAATGGACTAATACTATGCATATATTTTTAGTGTATAATTGTTAAGTAACTGAACTATGTATATTCATATTCCTCTTATTATGAACTTTCATTATACGATTCACTATTAAGTTATGCCTTCTCACGCAGGGGTGTTGTTTATGAAATTGAGAGGACGATAAGCAAATGTCCGGCGCTTTAACCGGGTTGGTGGATATGTAGGATCCACCTAAGGAAGTTGGAAACCCCTGATTCCAAACCAATGGTGCACAAGGGATCCACGATCCTGACGGGAGAAATGGCGTGTGAACCTATTGTTGGTCACCGCCTACCATGGGGCTGCATCTCCTAACGTTGCTCCACCGCCTTGTGGACCAGACCTTTAGCTCGAAGGCTAGGGCAGTGGCCCACCAAAGAAAACCACCTGCTTCGGTCTGGACGACCGGGAACTATTTTAGGCCGCACACAACTCGAGTGATTTTTGTGGCGCATATCTTTTTGGTGTCTCCCTGTGTTTAAATAAATAAGTTTTGCTTATTTTATTAATTACGGCCTCCCAAAATCATAACCACTTTTGGCTAGATCTCGTACAAATATTTTCTATTTTGTGGTGTGATGTGATCTGTTTGGATTGTATATAAACCCAGTGTGTTTGAAATGTATGATTTATATCGCGGAAGCTCAGATTGGTGTTTCGGACTTAACATGTAGGGAAAATGATCAATCGGGATTCTGAGCCGTTTGTTCAGGTGTACGCGTCATTTGTTGGTCATATAAATCCGAGTATCTAAATTTCGTAGTCGTATTCGCGGTAATCATACAAGCTAAGTACGTAACAATAAAATCACCTTATCTCTTGTTCTAATAGTTTTCCTTATAGTTTTATAATTATTATTATGCATTTCTTATAAATTATATTAAAATCTAACTTTTAATTATTTTTAAGTAGCAAATTCTTAAAGTTTGGTAAATTGAACACGAAAAAAGAGCATTTTTTTCTCAATCATATAATAATGAGTTTTATTTATTAGTATCAGATGGGGTTTTGTGGATATTGTAGTAAGTTCAATAGTTGAGATCATGAGTCAGTTGAAACTAAACCACCATGGAAGCAGCGGACGGCCGTTTCGTCCTATTATGGGACTCAACAGTGCGCATCCACGATCTCGATCGCGGGATTCGAACTCAGGACCTATCAGCTTCGCGCGCGAGCGCTTAACCACTAGACCACTGACGTGGCATCCAACAGTTAACGTCTAACTTCAAATAATCCCCGTAATTAAGCGACACATCCACCATTGTCATCAGTGAGTTACTATCTCACAACTGACCCGGTTGAACTCCACTGGTCACTGCTTCTCACTAGAACTCCAGGATATACATCTTGAAGCCAGTCACTAGTGAGCATACGTTGATTGATATCAGAAGGAGTTTTGTGAAGATTTTAGTAATTTCAATAGTTGAAATCGTGAGTCAATTGAAGCTAGACTGATAGGTTCTGGGTTCGAATCCGGCAAGGCTGGGTCGTGTATGCGCACTTCCGAGGAATTCTACAACATGACAAAAAAGCCGTCCAATGTTTCCAGGTTTCCCATGGTGGTCTAGCTTCAATTGACTCATAATCTCAACTATTGAGATTTTATTTATTAGTGTAATAGTAATGAATTCTCATTACAAATTTCATTGATTAATTAATGATCCATAACACGAATGATCATTTATCACGAGAATTGATTCTGATTAACTTGTTAAATTTTATATTAATTCTCTATGATTTTTCATTCAAATGAAAATTATTCCGTTTTTAATGTAATTTTTGTAACTAATACTCATTGAACTTAATTATTATGTAACTAAATGAATTCAGATATGATTTTATCAATAATATATCACTATTACAAAAATTATCTCACTTTCATTTCATAAATAATTATTGTAAAATTGTTGTATATTAATCACTAAGCCTATCTAATTGGTATTGATCTTATTTCCTATGAAGAATAGTCTCTCAACTGTTGGTAGATGCAGACTACTTGGTTGGGGTCCGCGTGACTATCGTAACCAATGGTTGGAGACTCTTGGTGACATGGCTCAGAATCGATCACAATGGCGTCGGTGTATACACTCTCTGTCTTCCCTTAAACTAAGAAATTAAAGTCACTTCATATCTTTCTTTCTACGAACCAATTCTTTCTTCTTGTACTATATCTCTATATGCCATCTTTCTCTTATATATTACCACCTTTGACCTAACCACTGCTATGAATCCGGTGTTCATCTTGTTGTGCTGATGCTTCATGGCAACCTGGACCGATGCACATATGTGCCTGGTCCTACATTGTAGCTGACTGACTGACTCTCAACTATTTATAGTTCGGAACTATTATAGTTCATCTCAAAGGATGACAAAATAAAACATTGGTTTCATTCACTATTACAGGTTCAATAGTTATATCAATAACCATTGTAATTTGTTATAAATTCATTATCATTAAAAATCATTCTTAACTGTTTCAAAGGTTGTACTTAAGCAAAAAAAAGCTTAACAAGTGATTGGTTTTATTCAAGATTTTTGTTATAATACTCCAGTTGCTTTCCTTTTCTTCTATCTTCCTTTCTTTTAAATTCAGAGCTTAGTATCATTCATTAGTTTTTCATTGTTGAATGTCATTCTGTTATAAGAATAGAATTATGACAACTGAATGCTGTGAATAGAAGACCAAATCAGAGCATTTTAATTGGTTGATTTTCGATTAATCAATCCTAATAGAAAGATTGTGAAAAAAAATGTACTGAGCTCTTCTCTCATAATTTCGATATAAATTCTTATACTTTTACCATATTGTTTCGCTTATTCGGAATATTTTTTTGTTTCAATCTTATTCTTTTGTTGATTTGGGGATGAGTCGAATGAGTGCTGTAGAGGAGTTTATTTATTTAAACACATGACTATTGGTACAAAAGGGCACCAAATACACATGCACCACATAAATCATATATATAGTTATTGTTACTTAAAATTAGTTCATATATGGAAATAACTGTAAACATAAGTTTCCTTTTCTATTTAACATTGAACTTATCAACTTGGTTGAACAGGATTATCAATACTTATTATCGTATATAGATTCTAAATGAAAGCCGAATATATAAACTTGTATTTAGTGCATGTTCTACATGCTGATCCAATTTTTCCCCTCTTAATGTTTTAACATAGCTTAAGTTAATTTATCATATATTAGAAGAAGACACTCAGAATCTAAATATTAGTAATAATATCTAGAGTCAGTGCGTTCCTCTCAATAATTATGATTTTGTTTTTCTCTATAAATATCATGTCACATATTTGCTTCTATTTTTCTTTGTGTCATTTACAATAGAATGATTAAATCAGTTGTCTTTCTGCATGGTTATTTAGTTAATCTTTGTTCGTCTTTAAGTTTGTATATGTGTGTATGAAATTATTAGGTCTATATATGATTGACTTGAATGTATATCTACTCTGTGTAGTCGCTTGTTTTTCAAATTTAATCTTGACATTATCTGACAATTGTGAAGTGTTGTGTATGTTATCAGAAGTGTTTTCTTCTTTATAAACTGATAAAATTGATTTAGTTAATTAAAAAATAAGGTTCCTGTTTGATTGATTGCTGGATGATTTATTTTTAATGCAACTATGTTGTATTTATTCACAATTTCATTGGAATTGTGTCCTCTAATCTATGTAGTTTAATCGTCAAGCTTTCGTTATCTTTCTTGGTGTCATCGTCAAGACAAACTTCAAATAGGAGTAAGCTACAAATTTGAAGTTTGAGCTGATAATGTTGTCTATAAAGATAGTGAAAGTCTCACGATCAGGTTATTCAACTGAGAGAATAAATTTCATTTGTGATTTGATTGTTCGCAATTTACTCCTTTGGTTTCTTAACTGACAATTTTGAACAAACTATAGACATGATTATGATTAAAGTTGACAATGTTTATAAATGTAGGAAATATAAGATTTATTCGTCTTGTTTTATATTACACATTCCTAATAAATTAATGTGTAATATTTATAAGTATGACATTTTCAATAGAAAAGGCCTCATATGATTAACACAAATTTGTTTTATATTTTAAATGTTATACAATAATTCTATAGTAAACTATAATCACATGCGTTTACATCGATTTGTTTGTTAGGAAATAGTTGTTTATTCTTATTTGTTGTAAATGTGCTTGTATTT